GAAAAAATTAATTTAAGTGAGTTATAGAAAAGAAACTAAAAAAAATTATTGTTTGAAGTCTTTTTTACTTTCAAGTCTGGGCAATTTCGCACAGCTCTCTAATGTCGTCGCCATAACAGCCTCTACATTTTCCGGTATAACCCGTTTGGAAACGCTAGCTAGCAATTGAACATGTCGTTCCGTTCCTTGTATGTGTGATGGAATTTTTGGATCATTAAACGGTGGATCATCTTGATTTAAATATTCTTTCAATGTATCGTACGGAATGCTTCGAGTGAATGGTGGTTCAAATACGATATTTATATCATTCAAATTGATCATTTCCGTATAACTTGTGCAACTAAAGTTTATATCTGGTTTTTTATAAACTCTAAGTTCCATTGGCTCGTCAACATCGGTTCGATAGCGTAGAATTTTCTTGATGGCACAGTCGCGCTTTTCTTTGCTATCATCAAACAACATTGATAACAAGATATTTTCCGAATGCGCATAATATGAATTATCTTTAATCACTTGATTGACAATTTTGCGTAAACGAGGTTCTAGAAATCGTGACCAACCAATGAACTTGAAAAATAATGCACTGCCGTACACGACAGAGCTGTAATACTTGATATTAAAGTACATTGGCACATAACATTTAATTATAAATTCAACCAGAATTCTTAAATTTGCATCTGGATTTTCCGTTGTCACATATAATCGCAATAATCTAGCGGCCTTGGTGAGCCACCGAGAATGTACAATTTTCCCTGGTTTGATGTTAGCCAGATCCACCGGAACCACGCCGCTAGAAATTGCATGGGCCATGTCGTATAAGTACTTCGAATCGGTGGAAAATTCAATTTTTTCTGGAGCAGGGGGCATATTTTGCAACTCAATTTTCTGGCAATACCTACCGGAAGAGTTTCACAAGTTTCGATTTGACGGCTCAGTTTTCCGGTTGCCGATCTTGGTCCAGTGCTGGTTGATTTATCCAAAGCTTCAAACAAATGCCGAAACGGAAGTTCGTTGAAGTGTAGAAGGCAAACGAACCAATGCAATGGTCTTTTTAACAGCAATTCGAATCGTCGTATAATTCCACCGTGTGGGCCAGTGTTTGTTGGCTCACCGTCAGTGCATATTCCAATTAATGCATCCAGTGATATATTTTTATCGTTGAAAAAACCATTTAATTTGGTTGTTTTGTATTCAGCGGTTTCATGTTCCAGTCTTACGTAACCAATCAATTCAGAATTGGGTTCTCTCAAAATAACAAGATGAGGTTCTTTTACCATCCTAGTATGATACTTCTCATCAATTTTATCTCTCGTTAAAGTATCATCTTTTCTGCCATCGAATGAAAACGCTAACAAATTGGTATCATCTAACCGTTTGCGAAGCACATCTTGTCTGCATTTCTCTTTTTATCTGCGAACTTTCGATTTATCCATGATGAGAGGTTTCCCATGCTTATCTTTAATTTTAAAATCTTGCAAAAGAGCGGTTCCCAATGCTGATGCTACTCTGTCAGGCACACCAAATCTGTCACATACCAAGGCAAAGTTAAAACAATCGTATCTCTCTGTGTATTGTGAACTTGTGCTTCTATCCATATCTTCTTGAACCGGTGGCGGTGCGTATGTTGAATCATCGGGATCTTGGTATGTTGGCATTGATGACATAGACGTTGCTCCTTGCTCTTCAGTTTCCATCACAAATGCATCCATTGTTAGTCTTCTCTGATTATGTTGATCGTGCATGAACTCTTTGAGGCGTTCGGGATCCCAGCCGCATGCACATGGAGCTGCCTTCAAATCGCATTTACATGTTCCAATGTAAAAAATTGTTTCCAGAGATTTTACATACTCTGTAAATTGTTGGGTGTTGTTTCTTCTCTTGATTTGCTCTTGGTACTTGTCAAGCAATTTATTCAATTTATTAAATACACTTTTCAGCATTATTTCCATACCAAGTTTTTCCCAAATTCCAATCAACTTATCTTGTACTTGAATAGTGAATGATTTATGGGAAAACTGTTTTTGTTCTGTTTTAGCACGTTCGCTTAAGTAAAAATAATATCTCAAGATATCCAGATGGGTTGGTAAATTAAGATCAGTTAAATCAGTAGACACCAAAAACAGTAACATCATGCTTGGGTATATGACTCATTGGGTTTTCGATAGTTGTTGATGTAGTTGCTTCATCTTGCGGTGTAGAGGATGGTGGATTCATTGTAAACTTTTTGATTTGGAATGGTCACTTCACTTATTATTTTTTTTGAAATATTTTTTTATCTGAAATTAGCACTTCACACTTTGAGTTCTTCACAACGACTTAATGCATTCACAAAAACTGTTGCGTTATATATGGTCTACGAGACGAGGTAATAAGAATGAAATGGTAATTTCAATTCTACCTGCTGTCTTGTGGTGGCTTAAAAAAAACAACACAAGCAATTTTACGATCTGCAATTGTGTCACAGTGATACCTTCATTGTTTAAAAGGGTTGCGGTGCATTCCAGTGATACCTTAATTGTTAAAATGGTTGCAAAAAAACGCGCATTTCTTAAGAAGGTGCCTTAAAATACCCACAAAAAGGGTTGTAAAAACAACCTTCATTTCTTAAGTAGGTGCTATAAAAAAACTACACAAGTAAGTTTACGACATGCAGCTGTGTCTTAAAAAACGCACACAAGCAATTTTCCGATTTGCAATTGTGTCACAGTGATACCTTCATTTTTTAAAATGGTTGAATAAAAAACCCACACAACTATGTTTACGACATGCAAATGCATCACAGTGATGCCTTGGTTTTAAAAGGGTTGTAAAAACGCTAATTTCTAATAATTTTTTTTAATTTCTTTTCTATTACTAAGTTAAATTCATTTTTTCATTTACATATGTTCTGACTAAATAAATTTCTAAAGAGAAAAATAAACTCCAAAAAGAAAAAACATAGGCATTTCGCTGATTTTTTCATGTAAAGTGCAAAACCGGCGATTTTTTGAAATGTTTGTATGGTGAACCCCCAGGGGGGTTCCAGGGGGTGTGCCACTGGCATCGGTGGGTCGGGCCTCCAAAGTTAGTGGGGGTCGGTCATACATTTGGACTCGATTTGAGCACTCTAAATGGGTCAAAGTGGGATTTTTCAAAATTTGCCCCTACCCAAAAGTTCGACCCAAATTGGGGGACATCAGAATTCGTTTTAGAGGTATGGTTCCTTCGGCAAAGTTTCTTATTTTGATCCCTAGAATATGATTTTCACAGAGCAATGGGCGATTTTTTTGCCTCCCCACAAATCGACCCGGCCTAATATATATACATACAGTCAATCAATAAAATTATGTACAGCGATTTCTTTGCAATACGGGCAACTGTTTTTTAACTATTTTATTTTTTTGCAAATATTTTATAAAAGTTTGGTTGATTCTACAACATAAACCCCCAAAATCAGAGCTCCAAATCTGTGCAAAATTGAAGAAAATTCTGAAAATTTTCTTTTGAAAAAGGTTGAGTATGCATTTTTTAGCCCGTTCCATTTTAGTATGATAAAGTGAAAGTCTGAGGTAGCTAGAACTTACCACCTATTTTTGACATATTTGTGCATACTCACTTTTTTCTAAAAAGTGTAATATTTTCGTGAAAATTTGTAGAATATTCTTTAATTTTGCGCAAAGTTTGGAGATCGGATTTTTAGGGTCTTGGTCGTAGAATTAACCATGCTTCTATAGATAATTTTCGAAAAATAAAATAATTAAAAAACAGTTGCCCGTATTGAAAAAATCTTTGTACTTAAACTATATTGTTTGGCTGAAGATAGGTATATCTGAAATTTGTAAAAAAATTAATAGCGCGCTCTTCACATGCAAGACGTTTGGCCAAGATTTTGTAACAATACTTGTGTGATAAAAGCCTATTTATACGAAATGCGTGAAAAAGCGTGCGTATTAAAAAACTAGACGTCGTGAGCGTGCGTGAACGTGAGCCAAAATCACTCATGCGCCCATCTCTAGTCGGAAGTACTCGTATTTTTTTTCTTTTTAAAGCTATCTTAATTACTTTGCTGGGAATTATGTATGCATTTCTTATTATAAGAATACTATTTTCTTTAAGAAGACAGCTTGATTTATCTTTTTTGCTCAGGGCGCAATCAACTTTAAATATCGACTACTGTATTTAAATTCTTATATCTGCAGAAAATATTACCAAAAAATCATATAATAAATACATACTTTTGTATCACCCGGTGAGATCCAACGATATTGGCTTTCATCTTCTTCATCCGGATGGGTTGAGTGTGTTCGTATCATATTCAAATTTCCAGGTATAATTAACGAAAAAAGTTGTTTGCCCGACCAAAGAACTGTTGGTTTTAGAATGCATGGCTTTGGCACTACACCATCCCAACACGGCATATGCATCAGTAAATTCATTAGCTGCTCATGAGTTATGAAAACATCACGTTTCGTCATCTTGCACACACCAGTCAAACAATCCTGTACTATACCCATTACTGGCTTATTGGTTTGAGGGGTGACTATTTGTCGCGGTGTTAAATGAAGATTCTCAATTTCAGCGCGTGTTTCCATGCTCTGTGGTACATGTAAATTCATTTCATCGCCATCGAAGTCGGCATTATAGGGAGTGGTGCACGAGAGATTCATGCGAAATGTGGACCAAGGCAAAACTTTGACACGATGACCCATCATTGACATTTTATGTAATGTGGGCTGACGATTGAAAATCACTAAATCATTGTCCCGTAAATGGCGTTCTACTTTGTAGCCAAGTTCAAGATGTAGGTCACTGGGTTTGGGATGAAAACGCAAATCGATACGATCGCCATTATTGCGTATTATGTATTTAGCGCCAGGGAATTGTGTATTACCACGCTGAACAAGGGTTTGCATTAGCTGGGAATATATGAAGCATGTTCGACATGAACAACTTAGAGCGCTAAATAATTTAAATTTTAAGCATACCTCAATATTAAATGGTGTAACCACTTCAGGGTATGTCAGGTTCTGCGCTACAGAGCGTGGTACACCCACCTGATCGATATTTAAGTTTGGGTCAGGCGTGATTACAGTACGTGCAGAGAAATCTACACGTTTGCCCATTAAATTGCCCCGTATACGTCCTTCCTTCCCCTTCAAGCGAGCTTTAATACTCTTCAATGGGCGTCCAGATTTTTGCAGAGCACGTGGTAAACCAGGAATTTCATTGTCTATAAGGGTAACCACATGAAACTGCAATAGAGAGGAACACTCCCGAATCAAGTGGTCTGCGGCGCCTGTTTCAATGCATTTTCTCAGCTCATTATTGGCTTTGATTATATCCGCCAATTTGTGTGTAATATCATCGTGTGAACGTGAGCTACCACACATTTGTACAGATGGACGAACTGATAGAGGAGGCACTGGCAGCACCGAAATGAGTAACCAATCTGGTCTGCAGTGCTGTGGATCCATACCTAAACATACACAATCTTCATCGGAGATATTACGGAAAATTTCCAGCACACGTTCTGCTGTTAGAATAATTTGGGGCTCTTGACGATGCTCCACAAAGTGATGCCAAGTAGCGTGCAATTCTAGCTTTTTTCGTGTGATTTGCGGTTGATGCTGACCACAACCCCCATGATCAGAAAGGTTACGTTCGTTTGTGCCTCTAATGGCGATATCTATATTTTCGCCGCCCTCGCAAATCGTCTTCGTCTTGCACAATTCACGCATAAGACTGAGACGCATGCGTGGACGTGCTTTGGTAGAATTTAGCACCTCCTTTACCTGTGTGAACATGAAATAAAAATATGTATATGTACACGTGTTATTGCAAATGCTAAACTTTTGCAATTTACCTTTGGATTAGAGGGTGATACCAAAAGCTTGGAGCAAGAGAAACACACACAGCTTAATATTTTTATAGTTTTCAATATAAATCCAATATGAAAAACTGGTAAACTCAATTCAATGTGGCCAAAATGGCCGGGACAGTCGACAATATTGCCGGCGCATGTTAGGCAACGCGATTCACGGTCAACCACGCCTTGACGAGGATCCATTAAGCCACCTATTGCAGGACGTCCATCCTCCACGATAATTGCGCGTGTAATGCCACCGTCCGTAACAGACAGCCGCCTGATTTCATCCGGCGAAAGTACACCAAATTGTATGCCCCTCACCTTCCGTGTGACGCAACCACCACTCATATCTAATTTAAATGTTCGATCGACTACTTACGTTAAAGTGGAATAATTGATATTTTCGAATATAGAAAAGCACAAAAATTCACGAATTTACAAGTAATGAACTATTTTTTTTGTAAATTAACAAAATTTGCACATAATTTGACAGTTCCTTCAAAGGAAGTGCGACCGAAGCGGAAATTTATATTTGAATTAGCTGTACTGTTACTTGGGGTGTGTTCAATGTGTGCAAGCACCGAATCTGCCATTGCACGATTTTCGCTTCTGACGTTTGCCCTTTTACAGACTTCCGTCATTGAACCGTCAAGCTAGAAACAGTGCCGCTGCAGCGGCAGATCAGATGTTTCTGTTTAATTATTTTTGCATCCAATTTACGTAAAATCATGCACGCGACGTAGAATGAAGCGTTTTACAGAGAAAGTGCATCATGAGCAGCAACAAGAAGTGGTATGGGTAATGCGCGAAGACGTTGTTACACCAGAGCAACAACAAGGGAAACGGAAACCAAATGCGGAAGAGGAAAATGAATCACTTAAACTTCCAATTGTTTACTCAAACAGTTATGGAGTACGTTTTTGTGGCATGGAAAAACTGCATCCCTTCGATGCCGCTAAGGGGGCTCATGTTTTGAAAGTATGTACTTATGTATGTAAGGTTTGGCTTAAATTAATAAATTAAAAGCGATCATTTCCAGTGCCTACTGCACAGCGAAGTACTCTGTCCCGGTCAGTTTTATGAACCAACAGAAATTACAAAGGAAGACCTACAAAAAGTACACACACGCCAATATTTACGTAGTTTAAAGGTAAAATACATCAGTATATTTTATATGCGTACGTTGATATTTATTAAATTGTCTTTCATTCCGCTCAAGTGGAGTCTGAATGCAGCTAAAATATCGGAAATCCCTTTGCTTCTTTTTGTACCTAACACATTTGTGCAGCGTGGCTACTTACGTCCCATGCGCTTCCAAACTGCTGGCTCTATATTAGCCGGAACTTTGGCTCTGCGGTACGGTTGGGCTATTAATTTGGGTGGTGGATTTCATCATTGTTGTGCCTATAAGGGCGGTGGCTTCTGCCCATATGCCGATATTACTTTGTTAATCACAAAAACATTTGAAGAGGAGCCTGATGTTGAGACAGCTATGATTGTCGATTTAGATGCACATCAGGGTAATGGACACGAACGTGATTTTCACGATAATAATAAAGTTTTCATTTTGGACATGTATAATGCGTCTATATATCCGCGTGATCATGAAGCCAAATTGGCCATACGTTGTGCTGTGGAGTTGAGACCGCGCACCGCGGATGAAATTTACCTGAGGAAATTGAAGAGGTACATATTCATGAGCTCTCATTTTCCGTAATTGTAATATAATGTACAGATACATAATCTGAATTCTGTTCTTTTTGTTGTCCTTTCGTAAAAGGTCTCTAAAACATTCCTTGAATGAATTTCGTCCCGATTTATTGGTTTATAATGCTGGAACAGATGTCCTCTTAGGAGATCCACTAGGCCTACTCTCCATTACGCCCGAGGTACTTATGGTGGCGTCAATTGCATTTTACTTTTACAATTAAGAATGAATTATGATTTACAGGGTGTGATGGAGCGTGATCAATTTGTTTTTGCCACCTGCCGTGAACAGCGCATACCTATTGTAATGTTACTCAGCGGCGGTTATTTGAAGTCGTCTGCAAAGGTCATAGCCGACTCTATTGTTAATCTAAAAGCCAAGGGTTTGCTTGCCAGCTAAATGCTATATAAATATTGGAGATCTTCAACAAAATTTTTTTTAAAAAACGACTCAGTCGTTTGGTCCGCAACTTGCGCTCCTTGCTCAAAAACCGAAACGCAATTAAGATGAAAATTCTATGTTTTTGTTTAAAATATGTACATGTTCCTGTAACTTAAGAGTATTTAAACAAAATTGCTTAGATCTGCTATATGCATATTTTTAATATTCATGTATGTACGTATACAAAGCTGTAACTGATCGTAACTAAATTTGTGATGTAATATAAACAAGAAGCTTAACATTCCATCAATAAATTGTTAAAATATAAAAATATACAACTAGCATTTTTAGATCATTTCCTGAAATAAAATCAAATTATTAATAAAGCATCTATACATACATAAGTAATATTTATTGGTCTTAAATGTATATACAAGTAATGTTATACAATTTCGACTTAGTGTAAATAATAAAAGGCCAAATACGTAAATTTACAAATTAGGTTTTAAAAAGAGAAAATACCTAGTAAATAGTTGAACGTGGCTTAACAAGAATATCGCTTTAATTTATTGGCTTTATAATTTTTAATTTAAAAAAATAATGCACACTTATGTGCCAATATGTATGTACTGCGATTTGCTGGGTCGCGCATATTATTAACTATAGTGCACTATACGAATATCTGGAAACATTAAGTAATACAAAGTTGTAATTAGTAATGAAAAGGAATATCAGTTTGCCTTTTATAGTGTGTTTTAGTATGCATCAGTGCGCTTATGTTAAAAAACAATGAAATTACTAAACATATTGAATGATTGGTCTGCAATGAGTTGACATACACAAAGTGCGTGTTATTGGAATTTATAAATTTAGTATAAATATCTAATTTTATATTACTTCGAAACGCCTGTACTAAAAATAGAATTAGTTCACAACGCATACAATGCCACATTACATAGTAAAATACGCTTTTAAATGGCTTATGTATACAATTCAAGGAACTCCCTTAATCTCAAGACTATACACTATTGTGTACTACAAAAGCATAGTTTTTGCATTTATTGCCATTAATATTTTTTTTTTTAACTTTATTTCCTACATATTTTACGGTATTGTGGTTTTTATTCTGATAAAAATGTAACAACTTGGCAGCAGTCTTTAAGTGTAATACGTACGGCAACAGGAGTGTTCGTCTTTGTATGCAATCGCTTTTATCGAGCATATGCATACAAATATGGTATACATACATATATGTATGTACGTTTAATATGTTACCAATTAACGAGTGCTTCTGTGATGACATGTTTTTAACAGTTAGTTAAAACGGACAGAATACTAGTGCAGTGGGACTGACAGTGGGAGATGTTTTGGTGTACTTGATGATCACAAACATGTCGATGAGTAGAGAATACATTTTTTGTCGCTTTGTTGAGTGTATATTGCATGTTTTGGCATGTCCAATAATAAATATTTAAATTAGAGAGACGGTCCATTAACTTATGTTTACAAGGTATTGCTTTGTTTGCATTATTATTAACAAGCAGTCGGAGCCGTTAACCTAGAAGAAGGCAACAAAAATTATCTTTCGATTTACATAATCAGTTTTTATAATGGTTTGCGAGTTTTTACTAATGAATATATGTATACATACAATGCATGCCAGTTTTGATGACAACGATTTAGTAAACATAGATATGTTTCTGCTTAAACAATTTTCCATGCCTATCTTTACAACATGCATGCAAATAATTATATTAAATTAGCTAATATTAAACATAAATCCATATTATGATTACATAACGGAACCCGGAAATAAAATATGGTCGAATATTGAAAACATTAGGCGAATATTCAAATGCTTGATTCTTCGATTAACATTCATATGTATGTTAATCAAAAACATAATTATATGTAGTTCATCGGGATTGCAAATTTCGACAATATTTTCATCATATATACATACATACCGCCGTTTAAAGTACAAAACCGCGTATCAACAATATGCAAAACCGCATATGTGAGGTTGCATAAATTATTTTCTAGAGTTAAAACACTCATATTTGAAAATAGTTCTCTTTTTTATAAAGCAATTGCATTTGTGACTAGTATATTTCAGAAGGAATGAATAAGGATTGAGCCAAGAGCTTGAGTGAGTAAATCCAATTTTCGACAGTAAATGTCGGTTACGCGGTTTTGCAGAATGACGATACGCGGTTTTATACTTTAAACGACGATATGTGTACATACATAAATACAAACTTCAAAATGTGTATGCATGAGTATGCGCTTTAAACGTGCCATATGAGCTGCAATTCGCGCTAAACAAGGCTAATACTACTTACGCATCGGAACTTCTCGTTGCGCCTTCGAAAAGCACATCTGAGCGACTGCTAATGATGTAAACCAAACAAAAGGAAATTATCAGCACAACAATGCCTATAGAGAGTGTGACGATTTCATGTACTCTGGATGGCCGTAAGAATATGCGAGCGCTGAAAGACATCCAGGTCGACTCAGTCCAGGTTGAGTATTCACCAGATTTCCAGTCATAATCTAAAGAAGAATAAAAAGTGATATTATTACAATTATTATTATTATGGGATACGAAATCACGTAAAACAAATTAACAAAGAAATTTTATTAAACATTAAAAATGCAAGTGAAATCTACTAAGGTTACCGCAGCTAAAACAAATGCAAACTTACTATCGATTGAGAATGCTGGACTTAGAGCGTGGCTATAGTTATGTGTCGTGCGTCGACATTCGCCTTCATCTTTCTGGCCGTTTATCCATAGCAGTGGTAATGGTACACAATCTGCACGGGTAATATTAGCTTCTACGGAAGACAGCAGTAACCCAAATAGGCGATATGTCCAACCGGGGGTTTCTTGTGTATTAGATGCAACGCTGATATAGCTGCAAGTTATTTGTTAGTAAAAACACGTTTAATTAAATGGATTTATATATAATCTTTGTAAATATAATCACCGAGTTGGTGGAATTGGCAGCCCGGGAAGACCATTTACAGGCGAAGCGTTGTCGAATAGCCGACAATCAGCTGATTGTAGAAAACAATGAAGCAGTTCATCAACTAATATGGGACTTGCGTATCGCGAGACTGTATACTCTTGACCTAAGAGCATTTGCGTCAGTGTCAAGGCTATACTCGTGGACACGTTACGTATCTTAATTTGTACCGAATCGGCAGTGAAATAATTGAATGCTTCCTCTGTTGACATAAGTTTAGTATAGTCCTGTTCAGTATAGTTGCCAAAGGTGAAGTTTAAATTTGCCGCATTGTCATAGATGGAGTGATAGTATCTGTTCGTGGGATTCGAGTTTAAAATCAATGCAGGAAACGCTGGCTTTTTGCGTAAGAATGATTGTGCTGAAGTTGGCGGCAAATTGCTGCCTATACTTAGCTCAAATTGTGTATTGAATTTTTGGCCCTGCGAATTCAACACCATGGCAAATGATTTCGCACTTTCGGTTGCAGTTAATGTATGCACGTTTATTGTCGACATATCATCTAATGTCCCAATATCGATCAATAAATCAATATTCTCAAACGAGATGGGTGATGTATGTGTCGATCGTGTAGGGAAATCTAAATTTTCCATATCAAAGACGATGCGCTGCGAGCCGATGTAGTCATACGATTCGCCATTGAATATGAGAAAAAGTATGTTGATTTTTTTGGTTAAGTCCGAATAGCTACTGGGCAGGTACTGCTTTAAGGTAGCAGCTAAACTCATTAGCGTAACATAGCCTGTTAGCGAATCCATGGCACCGAGACCTGCAGGATGATATTTTTTTTAAGAAAAGATATATTAAAGCGTGTTAGGGTTCTTAGGGAATTCAAATATGTATTACTCACCTAGGCCGTCAAACATTGACGTCGTATCCATCCGGCAACTGATTACAATAAACTTTTCATTTGGATCGACTTTGCGTACTCCCCTACTTTCCCCTGCTGCGGTATTTTCTGAGTATTTACGCGGATAAAGGGTACCGTAAACATTATTGCCCTCCAACGGATCGCAATATACAGTGCGCGATAGGTTGTTGATGAAATTCGAACGGCGCATGCACACTTCCGAACTAACCGCTCCCACCATAAAAGTTTTGACCTCCACAGAGCAAAGGCTGCGTGTAGCATGTCCATCATAATCAAAGTTATTAAATTTGGCAAAGCAAGATTTCAGTTTATAGACCTCCTCTTCGTCGGCTATGTAATATATGGGAAAGGGAAAGTCTTCATGAAGTAGTCCGGTACCCCAAGGATTCCATGAATTCTCCACATTTCGTGTATCGCATGTGGCAGTTTCTTTGCTGCCGTTCAGCAATAAGCCACTGTACCGATTTGGACACGTAAGTTCATGTGAAAACTGTGTCATTTTATCGACTTCGTTGATGAGCAAAACTACAGATATATTTTGTGGGCCTGCATTTTTCAAACGTAACATATTTTGACGTGTGAATAGATGAGGTGGTATCATAGGCGCATATGGTGGCGCAGGTGGGTTACGCAGTAAGAACTCAAAGTCTTCTACAACTTGTATGAGGTGCAGTGCACCAACGGAACCAGATTGCCCCGCTGTTGAAAAGAATATCAGGAAAGTTGATTCAAAACTTGCAGGTGAAATCATACAAATGTAGGTGGGCGGATACTTACATGAGCAGCCTGTCTGATGTGTGCCATTGAGACGCCTGAAGCAGCCGGCGCCACTTATGGGAGTATATATTAGGTCGTGTAATCGCTGACTTTCGGCGGCTGGCAAGTGTTGCGTGGTGCAAAGTATGCAAAAAAAGGAAATGAAAATAAACGATTACTTGTGAGTCACTGATAACAATCTATTGCAGCTGCCAACTCAAACCGTTAGAAATGCACTATTCAACCAATTAATATCCCTAAATCTTTACAAATAACGTTAAAATAAGATATGTATTTTTCGCTAGATGTCTAGACCACCAAATTTACGTCAAAATGGGTACTAATTTCGCCGCCTAGTGCATGATACCAATGTCTGTACTTGACGTGGCGTAGACAACTTACCGAGCACGAGATTTAAGCCGATCACTTTGAGAACTAGCAAAAATGTGCCAGCTTTTAATAAATACCACATTTCCCCCTTTAATCTGCCTAAAATCGTAACAAAATCGAATATTTTCGCACAAATTGAAGAATACTATTCCATTTGGTGCAGCTGACTGCTGTTGTCTTTTGAGATGAATGATGTGGGGTGTGTTCAGTATGCGATACAATGCTCAAGTGTATGTTGAGTGCTATCACAGCTAGAACTGCGTTAACCCTGCATGGGCGAAACAAATTAAAATATAAAAAACCCCAAATATGTAAATAAAAAACTAAATGAATAGTTACAAATATGTATCTTCTTATCCTTGATTAAGCCCGAAACTAGGACTTCGATACTTGCCTAACATTTTGCAGTTTCGCTTGTTATTCATACTAAGATCTACAAACAGATTTACGTTCGTCTTTTTATCAAATGAGACGAGGAAAGTTAAAAGGAGTCGAAAAAATTGATTTTTACAGCGATTCTTATATTGTGCGATGTGGGATTCCAAACTGTTTCTAATGCAACAAATCACTTTCTAGCTGTACTCGTTTGTTTTTTAACAAATTCACATCATAATGGATGTACTGACAAAAAACATAGGGGTATATTCAGAGTCGAAGTAAAGTCGATTATAAAATTAGTTGTAGCTTTTTTGGCAGATATTCTACTAAAACTATGGCAAAAAGCTGCAACTAACATAAGAGTCGACTTTACTTACATCCAAATTCACGAAAACAATTTAAGTAAAATATGATTTTATTTTTGTAACTGTTCTTCGCCACCCAGATTGATGTGGTCTCCGTATCGCGATCAAATATACTTTTTTAAGTATAAACAATCTTAATATTAGGAATGCATCTGCAACAACTATTTAAAGGTTTATTTACTTTATTTAATAGATGTAGTACTATAAAATTGTTAAGAGCGAACTAAAACTAGCACAGTGCCTATTTATTGACGCACACAAATATGAAATGATTGACGCTTTCTTCTTTCGTGCCTACTGGACAACCATCAGCCGTGGTGCGATGTTCATCGACATTAGCTCCTGGAACAACAGCTTGGCAGCGTAGGGCAAACGAACCTGTGATATTTGTGTTTTATTTTTGCAACCTTTGCACTCAAACGTATTATTGCGCAAATTAGCTATAGCGATAAGTCCACAGAAGTTGCAAACGTGTACGCGATATGGATCGGAGACTTCGAAAAGACGCTCACGTAGAAATTGTGCGGCACCGTGAGATATCTGACAATCACGTTCCATCTCACCGAAACGTAGACCACCATCACGCGCCCTACCCTCCATAGGTTGACGTACTAAAATCTGTACGGGACCACGGGCACGAGAGTGGATCTTGTCGTCCACCATGTGCTTAAGACGTTGGTAATAAGTAGGTCCTAAAAATACTTGGGCATTGATTTTACGGCCAGTATGACCATTGTACATGACTTCATTTCCACGCAGATGATAGCCGTACTCTTGTAGGAAAGTGGAAATTTTTTGTACGTTGACAGCATCGTTGAAAGGTGTAGCATCACCTATTTCGCCCTTATTTGAACCAAGTTTGCCTATAAAATAGTGCGAAAAAATCAACAACCCCTAACCAATTGTATATAAAATATGTATATACCTTGTAGACATTCGATTAAATGGCCAATTGTCATACGAGATGGAATAGCGTGAGGGTTAATAATAATATCGGGTGCCAGTCCCTCACATGTAAATGCCATGTCTTCTTGACGATACTGGATACCACAAGTACCCTTTTGACCGTGACGTGAGGCAAACTTATCACCAATTTGTGGTATGCGCACCGAACGCACACGAATCTTACAGAACTTATAGCCCTCACTATTAAGTGTTAACATCACCTGATCGACAATACCAGTTTCGGAATTACGTAGGAAGGTGGACGCATCCCTTTTAGTAAAGCGCTTTGTAGTGCCATCGAGCTGAAAAATAAAAGAGTATAAAGTATGAAATAGTCAAGCAGCATTTAAACTTGTTTACTTCATCGTCATTTTCCGGCAAAGTAATCGTTTTGCCTATGACGACATCATCTCCTGAAACACGAATACCTGGCGCGATAATACCATCATCATCTAACTTGTCATAATGAGCATTACGCATGCCTTGACAAGTCTGACGATTGGGTTTTTCGAAATTTTCTTCCTGGTCACCTATGCGCTTGTTTTCAGAGTCCTTATATGAACGGTAGAAAACTGAGCGGAAGAATCCACGCTCTACAGCTGAAGCATTCAAGATGACAGAATCTTCTTGGTTGTAACCAGTGTAACATAAAATAGCTACTATTGAATTGATGCCAGCTGGTAATTCTCTGAAACGCAGATATTCCATGGAGCGCGTGGTGACCAATGGCTTCATTGGATAATAGAGTACGTGCGCCAAAGTGTCCATCCGAACATGAAAATTGGTAATGTAAACACCCATGGCTTGTTTACCTGTTAAGACAAAAAGGCGTTATGTAATAATATTTATTAAATAGTGACATAATTAGCAATTATACCCATAGCGCTTTGATAAGTATTACGTGGACTCTGGTTGTGATCAGGAAATGGAATAATAGATGCGCATACACCCAAAATCATGGCCGGGTGAATTTCGCAGTGCGTGTAGGTCGTACAGTAGGCATAATCTTTGTCTTGCTTCAAATCGTAGGGAGACATAGCAATCATCACAGTTTCCTCTTCCAGGGTATCAATATACTCAACTACACCCGAAGCAACCAAAACTTGCCAACTGTAGTTATTGTAATCACGCTCCTTTAACATGTCGACATGAGTTTTCTTCAATAACAGCGAACCATTTTCCACAATTAATAACGGACGACAAATCCGTCCAGCATCCGTGTAGATTCTTATTTCACGATCGCGAATATCACGAATCATTGATACCTCAGAAACAATAATATCCATCTGACGTCGCAATTTGCGAAGAGTTGCCATTAACTGTTCTGGATCACGATGTATGCCGACCCAGCAACCGTTGACGAAAATTTTCGTTGCATCGGCGATAGCTGAGGGTGCAATTTCTTCGAGATTTTCCATAGACCATTCTTCCAAGAACTCTAGAATAGGAGAGGGTTGGGAACCCACAGATATGTACGCCATAAGAGCCAAATTCTTTACCAGGCCGACAGCGGCTCCCTCGGGTGTTTCGGCAGGGCACAACATGCCCCATAATGTATTGTGTAACTGACGCGGCTTGGCTAGTTTACCATCGCGACCAATGGGTGAATTCACGCGTCTTAAATGTGACAATGTGGATGCGAATGTTAGGCGATTCAACACCTGAGAAACGCCAGCACGAGCTTGATGTGCCTTTTTCTGGTCACCCCAATTGCCAGTAGCCAATGAGTACCGTAAGCCATCGGTGATGATATTGGTTTTGATGGCCAATTCCAAGTTGAAGTCCTTTCCACGATCAATAAATTTTTGTGTGTACATGCGTACTTCTTTCATGAGATTTTTAAAGAGGCCTCGGAATAGGAAGGCCAATAGGGGACCAGCAAGGTCCAAACGTTTATTACCTGGATAATATAAATTTGATATACGAAATTAGTAAGCAATTTATTCATCTACTCACCATAGTGATCGCGATCATCAAGTTCTCGACGACCCAGTGAAGCTAATAGCAGACGATGCACCATATAGCCCAAAAAGTATGCTTTTTTTAGTTTCACAGAAATCGGAAACTCCTACGTGGGGCAGCATTTCCTTTTGTAAAATTTCTTTCGCATACTTAATACGTTTGTCTTTCGTTACACCTGGTCGTGCACCCCGCGAACCAATAAAATTAAGTGCCACGTTTTGCTCTTGCACGACGAAAGCTTCGTCAAGTGACGGTTTCACCATTTCCATCATTTCAGGATCGTCAAAATCGTATATTATATGCTCCAAAATATCACGATCAGCTACGAAACCCAATGCTCGAAACACAATCATGATTGGAATTTCTTGCTTTATGTACGGTAATATAGCGATTATGCGCTGACCGATTGCTGATTTTTTTATGTTTTGTGAGCCACGTGCCATCATATTTACCCACAACGTTGACGTTGGTCTGGAGCTGTGCTCAAGACAAGAACGAATTTCAGATTTGAATGCGTATTTACCATCCTTCATGCTGAATACATAAACAGTATTGGTTGCCATTTTTTCCTGAGCAATTAACACTTTTTCGGAGCCGTTAATGATAAAGTAGCCGCCTGGATCTAATGGGCATTCATTCAACTCTGTCAAATCACGATCTGTGAGCTGAGATAGCAGACAATATGTCGAACGCAGCATAATAGGAATCTTTCCAATGAATGTTTTCTGATGTTGTGTTTCAACTGGGTCGGCACCTTCAACTATCTTTGTTTTTGTTATATCCACATACAGTGGGGCAGAGTATGTGAGATTGCGTAAACGTGCTTCATTAGGCATCATAGGACTTGGAGAACCATCCTTTTCCCAATGTGTGGGCTTGGATAAGTAGATTTGTTCGAATTTTAGTAAAAAACGAGGCTATTTTTTGTGAAAGAAAAACTTGGTTAAAAATTATATTCATTCAAATGTACGAACATTTATTGTACGTATGTACATATGTATATAGCATGAGCCATGCGTATATAGTACTCACGGGTGTTTCAATTTCACCAGAGGTGTGCTGTGCTTCAGCTTGCAAATCTATTGCGGGTGAATCCTCTACAATGCGCTGCACAGACATTTGAATAAATTCATCAAAACTATCCAATTGCTGACGCACCAAACCCTTTTCGTCAAAATATGCGTTAATAACAATCCAACAGGCCTCTTGCCACAACTCATGGGAGATTTCCTCCGCATTTTCTTCCTCATACATTTCTATAAGGAGAAATTTATAGTGAAACGTTTGTGACCAATGGCGACGCAGCAGCCAAGTGGTGTACCAATGAAAATATATCTGTACATCCAATCACTTACCATCATCGTCGTACATCATTTTGTTTGTTGGAAAACACTCAAAGCAACTTGTGCAGACGTATTACTTCATGTAACTTTCAATGTTAGATTTCTATAAAATTTCACAAAAACCAGAAAAAATATGCCACAAACAGCACCACGAAAAGCGGTACTAGAGAAATGTCAATATGCAAGATGACTTTTTTATAGCGATGAATCGATACAAGTATATCCAAGTACATACTCGATATTTTCTTAATTTCCCAAGTATTTTTGTATTCGATATTTTTTTCTGCGATCCAAGTAGGTATCGAAAAAAAGTTTTGCATTTGAAAGAGCACTAAACCCCATGAAAAATCGCGTTTTTTCTCGAAAAAATCACCAAATTTTTATCGGAGTATTTATTTAATGGACTTTATATGCATAAAAATATTTTTGTAGAGATGCTGATTTAAATTAATAACCAAATACCAATGTTTCCTGCTCGACCGTCGAATTTTTTCTGTTTTCTATAATTAGTGATAGAACGATAGGAGTACCGAGTACAGAATTTCGATACTTCTCATGAGTACTTAGTAATATCGAGAACTCGATACTTTTTCACAAGTACTAAGTAAATATCGCGAATGCCGAAGTAAGAGTGGGTTACTCAGCAAATTTATAGGAGTTGACTCAATGACTCCAACTCACTTTAAGGAGTCAGCTCATTCAACTAACTTATTTGACTCTTTGTATGTTACACTCATTCGTATCGTAGACTCGTTTTGAGGCATAAATGCGGTATAGCGGCCGTTGAGATAAAACAAAACTTTAAAGTGGGCGTGGCCAGCTCCTACTGATTTGAAAGGTGTAAATTTTTGTTTGTGCAAATTAATAGGGGCGGTGCTAGGGGGAGGGTAAAGGTGAGATTTTCAATATTTTCAAAATCTTATATTTCGAAAACTATTGTACCGAAGTTCAAAATGTGGATATGGTTGGAAACGCAATTGATTTGATATGCACATGTTTATATATCTTACATACATACATATTTCGAGAAACACTAAAAAAAAACTTTGCCATGCTAAACGCTGTGGCGGAGTGAGAGAGTTATATGGACAAATATGAGCCACTATGATTCAATTGAATTATGTGAGCCCTAGGGCATCAACTGAGTTACTGAGTTACATTTTTTTCGGACAGGGAGTCTGAGTTACCGATTCACTTATGGGAACCAACTCAATAACTCAACTCTGAGTTGAGTTACCCACCTCTATGCCGAAGAGTATCGAAGAGTTAAGAACTTTTTTAAGTAATTTTTTTTTTAATTACCCAATAAATATTATGGCAAACGTTCGAATATTATTTATTTATTTACTTCAATACTGTCATAACTAAAAAAACCGAAAACCCGAGAAACACGTCTTTAAAGTTTTTAATTACATATGGTCACCCTCATGCCAGAAGCATGAATGTGCAAATTTATCAGTTTTGAGTTATTGGGTTGACTTGGTAAATCTTTGGATTTTCTATGTTATACCAAAACCCAGAATACCATGCGTATTCGGAAAGTAAATATTTTACAATTTCAATTGCAGCTAAGTCGCGCAAAAAAAAAAACTTTCAAACTTGATTTCCCAAAATTTAAATTTTTACACATTCATGTTTATGGCATACCGGCGACGATATGTCTACACCCATACTAATAATTAATACATATTAGTTGTGTTTTTTTACAAATTATCCAGTAACTTGCCAGCAACTCTCCAGTAACTTTATTTCTAAGAATTCGCTCTCATAGAAAAAATTTGCAAAAAAGTACGCGAACGCTTTTCCAGTAATAATTTGCAAGTTTCATGAACAGCTGATAAATTGGTTGTTTATTCGCAGTAAATTCCTAATAAAACAATATATTCTGTATTTAAATAGGTTTATTTTGTGAAATTCAACAATAAAAACCCGCAAACAGTTTCCTTATTAGTTTAAATTTCATCCAGCAACATGCGATCAGCTTTTTTTCTTACTGGCAAATTCTTACAAGTAAAAATTTATCCAGTAAAATCCAGTAAAAACTTGCAACTTCAACCGTCATTTTTCGCTCTCTCAATTTCCCCTACTTTGCAAGTTTTTGCATACGAAAACGCCAAAACATGAAAATTCTAAAAAACTTTTACTGGATTTTACTGGAAATGAGTAAAAAAACGCAACTATTATGTTCTAGTGAGCTACTGGTAATTAAAACAGTTATGAGATTTTTACACAGCCTAGAAGAAAATGTAGCGATCATTTCAATATTGGCTTCGGTTAAAAAGATTCAAATAATTGAAAAACGAATATCTTGCCTCTCCTTTGATAATGAATGGTCGAAGAGGATGGCCTTCCGACTCGACAACTTGGCCACTCTCCAGCATAAGGCAGCCGTCGTTAACCCATGTATTCTACCTTCGTTGTGAAATCCAGCCCATTCTTGAAAAAAATTTTTATGAAATTGAGCTTATCTTTCCAATAGAGAATGGGCTCCACCACATTTGCTTCTCGTTTTCTACATTTGCATTTTATTTTCAAATATAAGTTATTTATAAATACATGTATGCGTCGAACAATTATAAAATATTTTAAACACTTGGAAATAAGCTTTTTGTTATAAACATTTAGTTTACGTATGTAAAACTAATTTATCGGAAGTTTATTCCAAAAACTCCTTTATATCAGATTAAAACCATTAAGAGCAGTGACTATTCAATTTACAAATAGGAAGAGGTGAAAAAAGCAAAGTATTCTGATTTTTTGTTTACTTTTTGCGTTTGCTTTGAGAATACCTGGAAGTACGAGTATTATCGATACTTTTTTGCAAATATGAGTACTGGCATCGATTCTTTTTTAGAGTATTCTATATGAGTACTAGTATCAATACTTTTATAAAAAGTTCTATCACTATCTATAATGCAAAATTTTCGTCCAAGCGACGAAAAATTCATGTTCTTATTTTCTGATGTGCATCTGTGCCCAGCGTTGCCGCTTCGCTTGGATCCAAGAATAATTTATACATTTTTTCCTGACTGTTAGACAGATAATTTATGAGGTATGCACTGCGACCTAATGATCTATTGTGCGCTCCACTCTTCACAATACTTTCTCCAAGCCAAGATCCCCCCAGGAAGCTTCTTTGGGGATAAGGAGTGAATGTGGTCTAACTGTGGCCACATGGAGCCCAAATTCCTCTCACGTCTTCTGCTGACTGCATCACACTCAATGAGGATGTGGAGTTGCGTTTCATTGGAGACGTCGCAGAACCGGCAAAGGTCATTCGGTCGTAACCCCAGTTTATATATATGCCCTCCCAGTCTGCAGTGTCCAGTAAGAAAACCTGTTAATGTTCTAAGCCTCTCCTTTGGGAGGCTAATTAAACTTTTGAATCTAATCTTGTTGTACCCTCCTAGCAGGCTTTTTGCCTATCGCATACCTACCGAACTCTGCCAGTTCGAGTCCCTCTCCTCCCTGAGCTTTTCCGTAATAGTGTTGGGACCCACTCCCAAGAAGGGCTCAGGGCCAATTGGAGTAATGGCTGCCGCCTCTCTAGCGAGACGGACCGCCGCGTCATTCCCCTCCATTCCCATATGGCCATGCACCCTCGCCAGTTTGACGTTGTTGTGCCTACCAATGGAGTTGAGCCTCTCTATGCACTCAAGGACTACAGACGATTTAATTTCGAAGGATAACAGAGCCTTGAGTGCCGCCTGACTGTCACTAAGAATTACAATCCTCTCATTATGCATACATATGCCAGTCGTTGTAGCTTAGTGAGCGATTGTCTCACAGTAGCCAGAGTGGTTCTTGAAACCCAGGCCACTGCCCCATATGTCACTATTGGCTGTACTATCATGGTGTAGAGCGATCTTAGAATCCTGGGGCTGCAACCCCAGGGTTTTCCCGACAGACGCTTACACACCATTAATGCTTTCGTAGCCTTGGATGTGGTCTCATCCACATGTTTCTTCCATAGAAGTTTGGTGTCCAGGATTAGTCCTAGGTACTTCGCTTCGCTGGCGAAATTTGCCACGACCCCATCCAAGGTAATGTCCCTCATACCCGGTAGGGCCCTTTTCCTAGTGAAGGGAACGATGGCGGTTTTTGCTGGGTTTATACTCAGCCCTAACTTGGCACACCATTCCCTTGTTAATCTTAGGCCTCTTTGAACGATGTCGCAGGGGGTGCTCTCAAACTTCCCTCTGGCAATGATAACTATATCGTCCGCATAGCCTTGGCCGCGGATACCATTGTCAGAAAGAAGTTGAAGGAGTTCATCCACTACTAGGCTCCATAGAAGGGGGGAATCGCTCGAACCAGCCCAGCGCCCTTCCGACTGAATTCTGGGTGAATAAACTTCTGGTCAGTTTCCAGTCAGATGGTCGCGGCCTGGTCCGCCCAACCTCTGGCTCCAGATCAATGGGAGTGGCCTCCGGGAAGTGTGCCTCAAGCAGAGTGATAGCTCTCTCTTCCAGGCTTCTAGTGTAGGTGCCGTCACTGCGTTTAAGTGCAAGTTCCGTTTCCACCGTTCCTCTAGCTAGAACCTTGTGTAGCCTCGCAGCTGCTGGGGTATTCGAAATACCTTCATAGAATGTTCTAAAGCTGGTTATCTTCGCCTTCCTAATCTCTTTGCTGTAGATCGTTAGCTTAGCTGCATACTCATCCCAGCCTCCCGTGCGCTTGGCCTTGTTGAAGAGTCAGCGCACTTCTTTCCGGAGCGCTGAGAGCTCCCTTGACCACCACGCGTTTTCGGACGCCAGGTTTGGTTTGGTCTCGGGGCAGCTGTAGTCAAAGGCGTCAGTCATAATGTTCGTTAGCCTGTTAAGCTTATCTTTAAACCCGGTAGGTTCAAATCTAAAAGCTCTCTATATTTGTCCCAGTTGGCGTTTCTGGGGTTCCTCAACGGAGCGTAGGCCTTGACCTCGGCTCCCAGCATGAATTGGATAATTCTATGGTCAGACATGGAAGGCTCCGTGGACACCCTCCATTGTCTGACCAGATCGTTACCCATATTGTTGCTGAGGGTCAGATCAAGGACCTCCTGCCTTACTCTAGTGATGAATGTCGGGCTATGTCCCACATTAGTTATACTCAGATCTGCACTCAATATATATTTTAGTAACGAATCACCCCTTCGGATGCTACGAGAGCATTCGCGTTACCCTAATCTAGAGGAGGACCTGTGGACGA